ACATGATGTCGTCAACAGGTTGTTAGTTCAATGACATGATGTCGTCATCAGGTTGTTAGTTCAATGACATGATGTCATCATCAGGTTGTTAGTTCAATGACATGATGTCGTCATCAGGTTTTTAGTTCAATGACATGATGTCATCATCAGGTTGTCTTTTGGAGAGTGGGATAAACATAAATTGCAGTTTTTACAGGAAATAACTGGTGTTTGTTGGCTCTGTTTTCTACATTTTCTGTCTCTTCTGCAAAAATCAAACAATAAATATGCAAAATGATTAAAATCAGTCTATATCACTCACTGCAATGTATTTTCCTTGATCTGGTAAAAAATAGTTCTATATTAATGTAGAAACAGGAAAACAGACTCTTTTCTGAAATGTGTTTTCTTTTGCAATAAAGAAACTGTCTTTTCCTGGTCAGTCCGTGTGGATTGATTTTAATTTTAGTTGATACAGCAAATTAAATATTTATGGACTTGAGGTGTAACAGTACTTTCATTTAATGTTCTGTGTGCCTCAACACATGCAGTAACCCAAACACACCATCTGCCAGCTCTGGGATGGATGATGGGTCCATGTAGGCCCTGCTATAACCTGCTGTCTCCATGCTGCTCGGTCCTGTTTCCACTGTCCTGCCTTACTTCACTCATGCCCCCTTTGTCCCCCCCCCCCCCCCCCCACAAAAAAAAACTCTGCTATTTTAGCACATTTGGCTGCATTAACTTTTCCTTTTCTTCTTCCTTAGCTTTTCTGCTCCACCCATCTCTTTCTCCTTTCTTTGTAGCATGTTTGCTACTTGCTCTCCTTTCTTTCTTTTTCAAATTGGGAGGGGCTGCTGTCATGTACATGCATGTACATACATGTCCTCCTACATGTCTCTGCGTGAGTGCATCTACAGCGTGCGCTCTCAGGACATCATTACCTGCAGTGTTCCCTCAGTGAGGACTGAACTAGACAAAAGGACCTTCTCCTACTCCGCTCCTGTTTCCTGGAATATTTTACAAAAAGATCTGAAGCTCTCGACCTTTGACCTCTCTAAGTGGCTTCAAACATCTGATAAGTTCCTGGAACCAACGCAGACATGTTCCTGTTTTTAGTTTTCTGCATTCACCTTATAATCCAGCTGGTTTTGTTACTTTTTATTGCATCAAATTTTAATTTGTAAAAAAGAAAAAAAACTGCCTCTTTTATAATTGTCCATTGTTTTTTATCACTCTTTGTTAAATCAGGTCTCTCTTGTAGACGAGTCCTCGAGGCTCAATGAGACGAACCTGTAGAAATAAAGGTTGGATGAATGTAACGTTGACGGACACCTGCGGCCGTGGGGGCTGCTGCGCGAGGACACACAGCGTTTTTAAAGAAAAAGCCCACATGGATCACTGCTGGCCAGTTCAGCTGGAACTGACTGGTTGCTCAGGAGTCCTCCTGACCCCCCCAGTGACCGGTGTCATCCATCTTCACTCTCAGTCTGGATCTTCCTCTCAATCCAGCACCTCCTCTTCAGAGCCCAGCTGAGCTCGCCTGAAGGTCCTGTTTAGTCTGTTGCTGTCCCTGACCCTGATGCCCCCCCCCCCAACAGACCATGGTGTAAAAGAGGACACTGGTGACCCCTGTGTCACTGAACATCTGCACATGGACGTGTCCAGCCTTTGTAGAGATGTTGCTTCACTCAGATTCAATGAACACTTTGTAGTTGGATCTTTAGGCGTGTTTACTTTGTTGTGAAGAAAACGTGGGCGTAGAAGATTTGAAAATTGTTGCACTCTTGTTTTTAGACCTTTTTCACACCGTGCCAACGTTTCCTACGATGGATTTGTTCTTAATGTACACGAATGATCTGCTGTGTCCCTTCTGTCTGTGTGTTCCTCAGACAGCAGAGGTGGCTCTGACCAACCTGAAGAGTAAATACGAGGCGGAGAAATCCATGGTGACCGACACCATGAAGAAGCTGAGAAACGAGCTGAAGGCCCTGAAGGAAGACGCTGCCGCCTTCTCCTCTCTGCGAGCCATGTTTGCCACCAGGTCAGCCCAAAACAAACATGTTTTCCACGTTCTTTGGCCAAATGACCAATAATAATAATAAAAACTAGACAAACTGCATTTCCTGTGAAAATGCTGTTTGAATGCTTACTGCTGAAGAACTTGCTGAAAAAAAAGCTGAAATGTAGCTGAAATGGAAGAACAAGCCTAAGTTAGCAGAAGAAAGCAGAAAGAACACATATTTGCTGAACTTGGTTTAAATAAACAGGAGTTGGCAAAAAAATTAGGAAATTAGCTAAAAAAAAGGCTGAAATTAGCAATAAAGAGCCGAAAGGTAGCTGAAAAGGCCTTCCAATCACAGGCCCACCTTCTCTAACCTCTGCGCTGCCTCTCCTCACTGAAGATCATGAAAAATAGGAGCTGAAATTCAAATGTTACAAAAACTCTGAGTTCTTCAGAAAATGTTTGAACTTCTGTTTGGACCGTCCTGATGGGATGCTGAGCGTGCACCAATGACACAAAAAGAGCTGAAATGACTGGAGCTTAAACTTAACCTGAATAAAATGACTGACGACTTCCTGAAGCTGCTGTTGGTCAGTTTACTCCAGCCAGGCCTCAGGACCGTCCAGAGGACATCTCACTTCAGTTTATGTACAGTACGTCGCCTCAGGACACCGGACAAAACATTCACACAAAGATTATCAGTAAAGTTCTGTATCTGAGGAGGCAGCAGGTCGTGTTGAATCTTCTCTTCATCACAGTCTCTCATCCTGAGCAAGAACAGAGGAGACAGTGGGAAGAAACACTCCCTTTAACAGAAGAAACCTCCAGAACCAGCTCAGGACCAGCTTCGACTGGCTGGGTCTGAGAGGACAGGAAGTAGAAACAGACACAGAATGACAGGTCCACGTGTGGTTTCTATAGTCCAGGTGTACTTTCTATAGTCCAGGTGTGGTTTCTATAGTCCGGGTGTGGTTTCTATAGTCCAGGTGTACTTTCTATAGTCCAGGTGTGGTTTTTATAGTCCAGGTGTGTTTTTTATAGTCCAGGTGTGGTTTCTATAGTCCAGGTGTACTTTCTTCAGTCCAGGTGTACTTTCTATAGTCCAGGTGTGGTTTCTATAGTCCAGGTGTACTTTCTATAGTCCAGGTGTGGTTTCTATAGTCCAGGTGTGGTTTCTATAGTCCAGGTGTACTTTCTATAATCCAGGTGTGGTTTTTATGGTCCAGGTGTACTTTCTATCGTCCTGGTGTGGTTTCTATAGTCCAAATGTACTTTCTATAGTCCAGGTGTGGTTTCTATAGTCCTGGTGTACTTTCTATAGGCTAGGTGTGGTTTCTATAGTCCTGATGTGGTTTCTATAGTCCAGGTGTGGTTTCTATAGTCCTGGTGTGGTT